AATACTAACCATCGTCTGAGCTTTCAGTGAGTCATAATCACTAGTAAACGATCACCATGACAAATACAATAATAAAGAAAAAGCTTGAAATATTGCAGGAATTACTAAAATGTGACAGAGACACAAAATGAGCACATGTCTATAAACTGGCTCCATGGAGGATTATGGAAGATTGCCACAAACCTGCCTTATTTATTTATTTATTTATTTATTTAATTTACTTTAATTTCTAAATTTTTTTAAATGCTTATTTATTTTTGAGAGAGAGAGAGAAAGAGCATGAGCAGGGGAGGGGCAGAGAGAGAGGGAGACACAGAATCTGAAGCGGGCTCCAGGCTCTGAGCTGTCAGCACAGAGCCCAACAGGGGGGCTGGAACTCACAAACCGCGAGATCATGACGTGGGCCAAAATCGGACCCTCAAGCGACTGAGCCAACCAGGTGCCCCAAACCTGCCATTTTCAAAAACCACAATATCTGCAATATCTGCAAAGTGCAAGACAGTAAAGCACAGTAAAATGAGGTATACCACTATTTCCAATGATAAAATTTATTCCTCTGTATTTCTATTATTTGGTTACACGATTGTGTCTTTGTTAAACTATGATCCCCTTAAAGTCAAGGATGGCATCTTCTTCATTCTTACATCTCCAGTTAGACACAGGCCTAGTAAATATTTTTGCATGACCAGAAATACACATCATACCATGAAAATCATAATTAAACTCATTAGGAGTATTTCAAACGTGACATCCAATATGATGTCACTAAGCGACATACAGCTATTAACTTTAAATTAATTACAATTACACAAAATTTAAAAATCAGTTCTTTATCACCTTTCTATTACCTATGGTAACAGGTACCATATTGGACAGTGCTGATACAGAACATTTTCAAGGTTGAACAGTGTTGTAGTTTCATTTTTTTTTTCTTTTTTTGCCAACAAATGTATCCTTTTTGAAATGTAACAAATCACGTTGGTGGGATGACCCATTATCTTATAGCCCTGCATAAGAGGGCAAAGATAAAAGATGCTGTGGGTGTGGAGTGATTGTTCATGTTTGGACACAAACTCATTCTTTTCTAAAGTAGCAGGAGGCAACACATTGAAGGAATGAAATGTTTGTCTTTTCTTACTTACAAGCTGTGTATCCATGCGGAATTATTTGACTTCTCTGGGGCTTCATTTGCTGATTTAAAAAAGGTATTAAATAACCACACGTAGTCCCCAGGGCTAATGTAAGTATTAAATGAGATACTGTATGTCCAATTAAGACATAGAGTTGAATAAAGGATAGTTTTTATCTCTATGGCACCTGAGCCTCAGGACACTCACCTGTTGCCACAATGCAGAGGGACTGCTAAGAGCCATGAATAGATTATCTTCTCAGTTTTCACGACTACCACCTTTGGCCTCGACATGTTTTGAGTTGTAGAAACTATTGCAAAAGCGGAGGCCGATCCTAACTGGCTCAGCACACATTGCGGTTATAATTCTGACTCTGCACTTACTCTTTCTAAATTTCATCATCTGTGAAATAGGAACAGTACATTCTTATGGGAGTTTTGTGATAAGCAGATGTGGACCAGAAAGAGCCTAGCACAGAAGCTTTGTATGCCCGGAATAAACTCCAGAAATAAATGTATGTTGTGGTTGTTATCTTTCTACCAGGACTTATATTTACAAAAAAAAAAAAAAAAAAAGTTTATTGAATGGATGAATGTATGAATGAATGGAGTAAGCCAAATCAATAAATAGCCTCTCCTAGCTATTGCCTGATGCCACACTGTAAATAAATATCACTAACATGATTACTTCATGAAAGACAAGCATGTGATTAAATAGCTCACACAAAGCACTGTGCTTTTCAGGTGGTGACTGCTGTAATGGAGAATAGGACTTTGCTAGAGCTTAGATCTGTAAGCTCTGGTTCTCAGGATTATCCAAATATTATTTTTATTTCCTGCCAAATTTATGCATACTATATAATTGACCATCCATTAATATTGACGGTGTAAATTTCCTGTTTACACTTTGATTTTTAACACTGACCGTATTTCTTTAAGGAAGTAAACGCTGCTTTAGTCAAAGCCATTATAAAAATAGCCCGTGTTTCCTAATGGAAAACCAGATTCAGTTAATCACTTGACAAAGTTTCATCAAATATTGTTTTGTTAGCAACTCTGATCAATGCAGAAAAGTCTAAAAATAATTGGGTTTCAGAAAAGGCACCTGGGATGACATAGGAGGGGAATATAATGTTTCTCTGTGGCTGGTGAATTTTGTGTAATAATCCTACAGATAAAATTATAGTGCCTGGGCTAATTAGTTGTTCTCCAAGTGCCCTGACCAGATCTATTTTTCTCCCATCTCCGTCTTGCCCCAAGAAGAGCTTTCATCTTTCTAGCTTTCTTGACGGTTGTCTTTCGTTTAGGCTTAATTAGTGGGAGGATCTGACATAAAAGGTGAGGAGAGAGACCCTGTTTCAGGACCTCACCTCTGGCAGATGTGGCAACCTTCCAGAAACATAGCTCCCTGGGCACAGAAATCCTCCAAAGCTGTTCTCTTGCTTGGATCCAGAAACTCAGTTCTTCCCCTGTCCATGTAGCCATTGGGGTAACAATAGCTTTTCACCACTGCCATCTTTTGGTGCCTTGTCGTCCCTTGCTTGGTGCAGTGAACTCTGTGCACACTGTATAATAGTCCCTTCATTGGAACTCTCAGAGGTAAATTCTGTTTTCTATCAGGCGCTGATTTACACAAAGATCAAAAGAGAACACTCTGTTGCCACGTATTTACCAGTATTTGACTTTTCTACAAAATGGGAATAACATTAGTATTGACTCATGTATACTCTGTAAGGCTGTGAAGTTGCTATGTAATAATGAGAGGGAATCTCATGACTTCTCCTGGAAATTTTGTGTTGATAAGCTTTTGTGTTCTGAGTGGTAAATAATGAGGGAGACTCATTTTTTTGACCATAAGGAAGCCAGCCTGAAAATGTAATGAAGGAAGACAAAGTTGAAAGAGATGCGGAGAAACTTGGCTGGAACTCTGATCAAATTGTACCTACAGGCTCCTCCAATGGCAGGACGGTTTGAGTTTTCCTTTGCGGTTTAAACCAGTTTGGATTTGGTTGTCAGGATTTGCAAACACAAAAGATGCAACATTGTAGAAAAAAACAACTCTTCTCACATATTTGCTTATTGGATGTGGAGAGCATAAATGTAGTTTATGATAAATCTCTACTTTTTGTAAATCAGCCTATTACCCCAGGCTTGCTGAGTGGTCTGCTTTGATAGGTCTTTATAAACCCTGCAGAAAATAAATCTAAATTTGAAGATTTAACTAAATGCAAGAAATGTTTCTAATATTTACCATATTAGAATATTAATCGAGTAATTATAGAAATATTCAAGCGAGCGCCCTGGTTATACACATGATGTTTTAAACCTGTTTAGTATCTTAGTAACTGAAAATACCAGCTTTCTAGACCAATCAGGAAAAATCAGCTTTGCGCTTTATCAGCTCAGCACTGAATATAGGTAATGTAAGTTGTAATACACAAGGGTCAAAAAACAGGAGGAGACGAAATATCTGAGAACTTGAAAAGATGTGCTATTTTTGCCAAGAACACAATGTCTGCTCTCTTCAGAAAATTGAGTTTAGGGAAGATTACAATTACACTTTTATACAATAGTAAGTTTGAATGTATTTGTAAATTTATTTGTTTCAAAATGACGACATTAGCAAAAATTTTACATAGCCTGTATTGAATTTACATATTCAAATGAGGCTTTACCAGTAATAATGGGGTTTAATACAGAGCTAGATAGAATTTGAAGTTCAACGTTATGTCAAAGAATCTAAGACCCTATGAGTTACAGAAGATCAATATTTTTTATTTGATTCCTTCTGAAAATTAGACAAGAAAAGATTTACTAAATTGTTGACATGTATATATATATATATATATATATATATATATACACACAC